CATTATCTACCACCAATGGGAATCGCTTTGTTACACAAGGTTTTTACTAACTGCGCCTCGCGGTCAGTGAAGATCTAAACAGAAAACTGCAAAAAAATACTAAGATGAAACCTAATCATTTGTACATTTCTTAGATTTATTGTTACTTTTAACTCGTTTCTCATTTGAAATAATAATTTATTAATTTATTTTTGTTAATGGCTACACCTATTGACAATAATATACATATCCATGTATATTAAAGAAATATTACATTACATAAAGCTGGGTAAGAAACATACTGAACCCAATGATGAGATGATCCAATTCGCCTATGGGTCTCAGATGATTGGAGTGTCGAATCGAAATAAACCACCACTTACCATCTTTTATGTAATATTTACAGTATGGTGAGTAACATTATAAGTGTAAATTTCTGTTTCGAGTGTTAGATTATTAGACGTATTTTCTTTTATTTACTTTCCAATTAATTAATGTAATAAGGCATATATCCAAAAGTTATAAATAAGTAAGTAAAAAACTATATTTGTCCCCATACATGCAGGCAAGGCTATTTACGGAATACATATAGGCAGATTATTCCAATTTCCTTTCTTAACAATTAACATACTGTGTAGATGTGTCAATCAAATTGGGGTTTTTCGTAAAAATAGGCAGCAATGTATTACGAATCTGCTTTACGGCACTAATACGTCGTCGAGATCAATCATTTTTAGAGACTCTATACTGTGAATCTTGGTGAGGTTCTGTTCTCTAATATTTGATTGTTTTCATGTTATCCTAAAAATGAGTCAGCATAATAGTTCTTTATTGGTTTGTGGTAGACATTATGCAATCGTTTAACATCGCTAATAAAGATGAATGCGCTTATTAAGTGTTTTAAAATCTCCTATATATAGACTTAATAAAAAAAACTAGTTTTAACATTGACTGGTTTTAATTTTTGTTCCTTACCATGATTAAAAGTGGCTTACTCTTTGCCCTTCCTTACGTTACAATGTGATTTCCATTATCTACCACCAATGGGACAGTTTTCTACGTTGTTCGAGATATTATTTTAACATAGGCTTACAACTCATGGCAGAGCAGAAAGCTAACCCTTGCTAGCGGGAAACGTGAAGAGAGGGACATATCAACGATAGGACGCAGTTTGTATCAAGGATTAGTGGGTCGACGAAAACTTTTAACTGACCGTGAGGTGCTTCATTTAGTCACGGTTTAGCTTGGAAACAGATTGTTTGAGTAGTAACGTAGGCTACAAATTATTAAGTCGGATTTGTATGAAACAGTTGAGAACTTAGCGGTGCCGGTCCTTATTATGCATCGACGGGTGGGGCTACGCGGATGCTTTAAGAACCCTGCGCTGTCTTTGCCGACGCACACACCAAATCAGTTTTTTTTTTTTCAGATGAATAATCAAATATATATTTATAAACCTTAAGAAACATACTAAATTTTGTTTCCGACACATTTTGCGTATTTTATTTGAAAAAATATATAGAGGGTAAAACAAAATTGTGTACTCTAAAACATAAAAAAAAAAAAAAAATTAAAATGCTATATCTCTTTGGGTATAGTTTTATAAGAAAACCTTTAGTACAAAAGTTGGAGATAAACTAATTGTAAATAATACAAATCAAATTTCACTACGATGGCATGCGTAGAATTTGAATGATATGCAGTAAAGTAAATGACTGTAATTTCCAGGTTTGTAGGGGGTTGGAGGGGGTTGGGAGGGGGGAGAATCGGGAACTTTTTTAAAATACACGTCTTAAGTGGTTCCATCACATATAACAAACTCAGCTTTCCACTATTTAGCTACGAAAAATGCAGTTTGTTCGTTTATTGGCTGGGCTAGATGCGACGACGCAGCGCAGAGATGTTCAACTAGCGCGCACGCGCTCACTTTGCCGACACCCAGCACTTCACCCGGTCACCTAGATGACTAACCAATAATATATTTGTAAACCTTGAAAAACGTACTAAAACTTTTGTTTCAACCATATTTGCGTATTATTTCTATTTAAAAGTATACATAGAGAAAAACATAATTTTGCACTCTGAAACAAAGCTTTTAACGAAGTTTAAATTTTATATCTCCCTAAGCATTGGTTTTAGAAAATTGTTAAAAATACAAAAGTTTTAGAAAAACTAATAAGAAATAAAACAAAACAGGTTGCAGCTCAATAGCTCACATAGCATTTGAATTATGACCAATTAAGTAAAACACTGCAATTTATATGTTTGGAGGGGGGTGGGGGGGGGAAAGCTCAAGGGGTAGAAGTGGGGACTTTTGGGAAAATACACCTCTCATGTGGTTCTATCACATATAAAAAATCCAGCTTTCCACCATTTAGTTGCGATTAAAAACATTTATTGACTGGGCTAAATAGTGTCTTGGCAGTGACCGCTATAAAGTTAGTTCCTAAATATGTGTGGAATATACTGTATATGTAGTTTATGGATACTAACCATGTTCTCACATGATCATATTGTGATTGTTCATGTTTACACAATAGCAAGTACATAACTTAATTACAATAATGAACTATATGTTTATACTATTTGTTAACACTATTTTTATAAATAACATCACGATGCATATATTTGTTGTTGGACGTTGTTGCTTTCAATGAAACAACTTTTAGCCTTTGCTGGAAAAAAATCGGTACTTCAGTATTAAACGGAGGCCACATTTTGTCAGCGCGCTGCGGCGGTTATGTTAGGTTGGGTTATCATAATAGAAAATATCGTTCGATTCATAACGAAGCGAGGAAAGTCCTACACACATAATATTTACGATAACCCAACCTAACATAACCGCCGCAGCGCGCTGACAAAATGTGGCCTCCGTTTAATACAGAAGTACCAAAAAATCCCCCAGTGTCATAAAAAGCGCTTGGATTTAGCATAGCTATTTTTTTTTATACTAATGCTATAACGTATGTTATGAGTTCGTTACAATTCGGGGAGAAATAATTTTAAGAGACTTTCCATCTTAAATACTATTATATTTTCGAATATGTTTTTTACACATAGTTGATAACAATAGGAGGCAATTCTTGTCAGATTCAATATCAGGGTTCAAGGTAGAATCTTACAATCTTCATGTGAAGTGATGCATGTAAACAAGAATGGAATCTTCGTTTCATCCCAGTGAGCTTCATAGTATCACTGTTTTATATATTTTCTTATACATTTTCGTATTCATGAGTAACGGTCAAAAATAGTTTTTAAAGGATTACATTTCATTTGGCATGTACATTTTATTCTTAATTTAAATGGACTAAAATTAAAAGTTGGGCTTTCTAAAGATCTTGTGACGAAGAATGAAATTCGAATTTTCGTATTTGGTAGCTTTGGTTTCTTAGGACGGTCGATTGCATTTATATGTACTTAAAAATAACTAGAGTACATTAATTTAGGCCATTAAGTAAACATGTTTAAGTAGATAATGAAAAGTAGCCGCATCATCATCATTTCTAACAAAACTAATTTTTGTTATTAATTAAGACATTTTTAATTGACTATCAAATGCCCTAAAATAAATAGAACTAACATAAAAATACAACATGTTAAAATAATAAACTTACAATTTCGGTATGACAAGTATTTAATTGTAATATTAAATTATAAATAGAAGATTTGAATGGAGGCAAAAATAAATTTAAAGGGTACCTTTTTTAGAAATATAATACAGCTCTCTTAGAGCAAAAAACACTTTTGAACAATATTTGAAACACATTGTTCACAAATAAAAATAATATTAATACTTACACACTAAAATGAATGTTTGCAAAATATATTACTTTTTTACTGATCTTAAAAAAAGTAATAAAATCCATTTGACATTTTTCACGATCATATAAAATCCAACATTTCGTCTAAATGAGAATTTACGTTATCCAAAATTCGTAGGAAAGATATTCAATACTAATAGGAGATACATTTGACAGGGCAAACACAAGTACCTGCACTTGTACAAACAGTTAGAGGACATGTATGAAATGGAACAGTCAAACAGGACGAAAAATCAATATGCTAGGACAAACATTTACACAAATATACAGTGATCCATCTATAAGGATGTTTCAAGCAAAACTAACAATTGAATAAAGATAATAAAATCGAGTATTTTAAATTTTAGCATCAATAGTGATCAGTTTTTTTTACTTCGATAGCTTATTGTATTCAAAAGCTTATTGATCTGTAGTATTCCATAAATATAAATAAAATAAGAGAATTTACATTACCTTCAGATCAATTTTCACTAACATGTTCTCTAAAAATGTTCAGATAAATGTTATATTTATATAACACTAAATTATAATGATTACAACTTAGTTTTGTTTCTTCAAGGAAGGTAATAAAGTGTGGTTTCATTTAAATGTTAATTGGTTGGCTTAAAATAAATCCATTTCAAGATTTTATCAAATTGCATTATGTCTAATAAGTAAATTACATTAGTTAATAAATAAAGAGTTACATTTAATATTTTAATTTAAAGCAGTTTTGAATTTTCTCCGTAATTAAACGTTTCAATATTCCTACTAAATTACGTTTGTGATTTTTAAGCCTTACTGTCTATGGATCAACACGTATTTCAGTAGTCTTTGGAGTTGTGTGATTAAAATTTATTTCCAAATAGTTTACGCAGCTCTGTAAAACGCAGTAGGTTCGGCTAAAAGAGTTTTCACCACATGATGTTTTAAGCTTTTTGACATACGTTAATTGGTGGCTGAAAGCTACGTTTTGCTGGCCATGCCAGCTGTCAGCGTCATTTTGGGGACCGAGAAGGTTTTTACATCTATAGGGCCGCTAAATCAACTGTTCGCTTATTTACTTAAAACAATAATGCATATAATTGTTATTATAAAATATACAAGTTGTTTCCATAGCATTGCAATAGGCTTTTTTATAGCCACTGCTTAGCAACTGTTTATTATTATTTTTGCTGATTCCTCAAATAATTTCTTCACATAAACCTAAAGTTGTAGTTGTGTTGACTGTTAGTGTACATTATTATTGCCCTGAATAATGGTAATATAGTTTATAGTATGATGAAAATAGCGTTTGTACCACGGACCGAAATGGTTTTGCAGGCTCTCGATCGTTTAGTTCTCGACGGCCAGCAAAACCTCATTTTCGGCACTAGGTACGAAATACACTAATTGTCATTTTAAAACGACAGATTTTTGAGTGTACTAAATTAAATATCCACATTTTAGTACAGTATATGTTACATTTTTACTTTTCTCTTCCTATAAACCTCATCATGATTTTTTTTCTTTCTTGTGAGGCTTTATCTGTACGTCCACCACTTTCTTCATTCTTTCAAGAGACCGCACAGGAAGTAAGCTGTAACAAAGAAAAATACGTACATTTTAGACTTTTCTCAATTAAAGGAAATCTGAAAACTTAAACTTATATAGAAGTATTATTTCCCAACTGGGCTTTATATCATCACCTAATCAAATTTGAATTTACTTACTTACTTTTGGTATGTTTTAGGTTTAGTTTAATTGGTAAATCATAAATATTTTTTATATAAAACGTTTCTATAAATTTCCGGGCTATTATATTTACAATTAAAAATAAAATAGCTACAACATTTCTTTTCAAACGAAAAAAAATTTGAACGTAGTGATTTAGTTACAAAAATTCAAGACAATTTACTCTTGACAATATTGGGGAATCTTCTTGAATTAATTGTAATAATGCCAGTTTTAGTTGACTGGTTTGATTTAAACGCTGTGCACGCCATAACACTACTAGGGGGTCACGAATTTCGGATATTTATAGGGATGCACTGTGGATGTGATATTCACTGGTGTGGATTAACGTCCGCACGAGTAAGTACTACGACTATCCGCAGTGCTATCCTGATAATTAGACCAATTCGTTTATACCAAGGCAAAAATGTGGTTCAGACTCCACTATAAACTGTAGGTCCCTTAGTTGCCATTAGCTGTATGGGCTATAAATAACAGCTGTGTGTAAGGAATATGTCAGCCTTAGTCACTAAAAAGACTACAATATCGCACCACTCATCCTACACTCATCTCCATTCATACTTGGCTTAAAATACCTACTTTGTATGGTCACCATTTAAATGAAAAAGTATTGAAAAGTATAACACATTGATAGAAGTGAAAACTCCTTTATTTTGAAGACAAATAAACGTTAAATTAACCTTTTCCATTATTTTATTTTGTCCAGGCCTTTTGTACACCCTGGTTAGAGAGCTTTATAGATTTGAGGATCTTTACTTCCAGTTAGAAAAAATTTTTAAAGCAATTTTAACTGTAATACAATGTAGTCTTTATTTTACTTTATGATACTCTTTAATTTACGTATCGTATTTGATTGATACTTAAATATAAACATTTTAATCTAACTTAAATTAAATTGTTTAAATCAGCAACAAAGCATAGGCGTTGACTAATAAATCTTTCTTAATATTTATTTTACCTTAATTTTCCTTAAACACTTTCAACTACCTGCTGTAATTAGGTTAGAATAAAAAGAAAAAGAAACTTATTTATGGGAACAAAAATAATAAGCTAATAAAACTCACTCCAAAAGTTTAACGGAGTATTCGAACGATGAAGGAACAAAGATTGAAACTTGGTTTCGTTGTACCCCTGCAATGGTGGCACCAACAACATCTTCTATAGGAATAGCAGGAACTCTGAAATCAAACGTGTTTTTATATACAATATAATCAATTAACATGAGGACTCCATCTAGGCGCGTATGAGTAAAGAATGAGCGTAGGACTTATTCCGTCTAAAATATGAACTAGCACTAAGAAAAATATCACTTGTTTTGCTAAGATCCTAAAAAATAACAAAGACATAGAAAAATAATATACTCTGTAAACCTTTTGAACTATAAATTATATTTTTTCGTATATAATCTTTTGAATTGTAACTGTTGTTGCTTCGTAAAACAGTTTATGTTCACACGCTAAAACTTTTAGACTGTGTTATGCCTTTTGACTGTCACTTTTCAGTAATGTTATTGCATTTATTACCACGTACGAGAAAAGAAATGCTAACTAAATCCAAACAATCAAACAAACATGCCTTGTAACTTTACCTAAATGTAATATTGCATTCCATGTAAAAGTTTCAGTCATTTTTAGGATAACGAATAACGTAGGTATAGTTAAAAAAACCACCAACCGTTACTGCACAAATCTGTTTTCGATTATGTTCATTTCAAAACATTGTTGTAATGGAGGATAACTTATTTTAATTGGGTCACATATATTGCTCGTTAAATTACTTTTTATTTTCTTATAAATCAAAAATTTAAATATACTCTACCCTGCAAACTACTTTTTGTATATCATAACATCTTGAACGTACCTAAGTTTCCACTCATTCACATAGTCGGCGCTTGTGTTGATGAAGTACGGGTAAACTGTAGTTGTGTTGATGTTGTGCTTAAACTTTACTTCTGAATGAACAACTTTCATTAAACCTAGAAACAAAAGGCATTTTAATAATTGCATTACCAAACATTTTCATCATTAGAAGTGCACAAACTGTTTAAGTTGATGTAATGCTTTTTACAACAGAAAATAAAATAAGGGATTGTAATTAGGAGGAGTCAAATATTGTGAAGAGGAATATTGGAAATGTGCGAGTAGGTGGTGTTGTTAAAAACAATAGCTAGTTGTGCCAATGAATACAAACCACTAAAATAGTGGTTTGTATTCATTGGTTGTGCTGACCTATAGAATGCTGTTGCTTAAGTAGGCCAGTGTACTTGATCAGAGGGTCTGTTGTGTGTGTAAAGATAGTGGTGTGTACTGAAGAACAAGGTCCTGCTGGGGGAGCTGGAGCCCAAAGACAATTTTAGAGGGTTTCAAAATTGGGGGTTTCTTCTATTACATACTATTGTAAACTAAATAATTATCACTGTTCCCTGTCGACTCAACCTTTTATTTTATTTTATGTTTTTATATTGTTTTGTTGGCTAAATAAAGTTTGGGCTTTGTAAGCGAGTGCTGAGTTTTTTTTCCTGAACAACGTCACCCAAAGTAACAGTGGTGAAACGGTGGTTAGCGGGGTTACCTACCATTACAGAATGTCCATATACTATATGTTAAAGCTTGGTTTTGTGCTTAAAATCAAACTAGTATTCCTTTATCACTCTGAATTACTATCCTTTGTAGTTACGTGCACATCTTATACGAGTTAAACTTATTTTGTGAATAAAAAGTCCATAGGTTGACAGCCCTGCATCCTTTAATTCATTAACGATCAGCTGATATGAGTTTTCACATTGTTGTCTGCATAGTATAGTGTTATGTAGGAAAATTTATTTTAAGTAAAACACATCGCAGTGTTTTCACAAGTTCAAAGATTAAGTATTGAAGAAGAATACATTAAAAGTTTTTACTTTTTTTAATACTTAGTTATTTGAGCAAGAAAGGTTTGATATTGGGTTACCAGGTGATATTACAGTACTCAAACACGATAAAACTGATTAGATGTTACAACATTATGTAAAGATAATGAATGCAATACAGGGTTATTACAAATGATGTTCCTGATTTTGATTATAAATATTACTGGGTTAATTTGTTTCAAGACTATTTTAATTGGTACCATTGGAAAGAAAAACTCATAAAGTTTCATTTACATTGGTTTGGGTGCATATCAGCTGTTTGTCAAGTCAATTGTTGTAAGTGTTGTGTAATGGCTGAATTTGAAGGCAGGAAAGCTTTTTGCCAGTTGGAATGTTACTTAACCAATCTGTTATTAGTGTGAAACGACACTTTAGAACCAGGTTTAACGATTATCCTCCTAGTAACCACTATATTGGCAAGTGACACTTGAAATTTAAGAGAAATGGCTGCATTTGAATGTTACTTGTAGTAGGGCTGAACTTAACAATGTGCTGCCTGAGATGTGGAACGAGCTCGGTGGTCCGAATAATGACACACCCCTGAACTGGCCTACAAGATCTCCGGACATAACCCCCTGATTTTTTTCTTATGGGGATACATCAAAGATAAGGCGTACACACCACCATTATTAAGCATACTTGAGATCCAGCAACGCATTACCAATGCTATCGAAAAAATAGACCTAGACACACTTTTCAAAGTCTAGCAAGAGCTTGACTACATTATTGACATCTGTCGTACCACAAGGGGTTCCCGTATCGAGCATTTACAGTTCTGTGTATCTGTGTCAAAACTTTTTGAGTTTTTCAAAAGTTGTAACCATTTTATTTCTTTGTATAACAAATAAAACTATATTTCATGTATGTATTAAATCATGAACATCATTTGTAATAACCCTGTATTTAATTTCTTCATCAATGTACATTAATAAATCATAAACATTGATTACGTTTAAGAGAATTATTAGAGATTAATATGTTGAGATTGATTCCCAATACATTACAAACAACACTAAGCCACATAAAAAGCAATGCAAAAGTTCATAATCAGTTGATCGCTAATGAAGTAAACGAAGCATTGTTAGGTTCTACAATAACTACAAAATTCAAATATCTAAAAATCTTTTTGGTTTAAGTCAGGAACCCCAGGAAGGTAAGTAAGGTACCCAGGAAATATGATTAAGAAATTTGAAACGTTTTTTAAAAGTCACAATAGTTTAGTAGTATAATTTAAATACCTCTAACTCCAAACTTGCTGGCTATATAGGCGGAACCTGCCGAATCTCCAACAAATGATGCCATAGATGCTATGGCTACTATATGTCCACTGTTACGCTCTTTCATTGAGGGGAGAAACTCTTTAAGCATCTACAAAAAATCACACACATTTTTAAAACTAAACAAATATTTATACCAATAAAACTCATTCTATAACTCTCCTTTATAAATTCAAAGGAGGTAAACAAAGAAGTGTGCTAGTATAAATATGTTAATTTTTTTCTTGAGCGAATTATGTTTTCAATCTTTCAAATGTTGGCTGGGTACACTCATTTGATTTTAGTATTAAATACAATTAAAAATAGTTCTAGAAAGGTAAATTTTTCTAGACAAACATGGATAAAACCAACTATTACATTAAATGCAGTATCCATTAACCAATTTGTCTACATATATTTTATATAATTACCAATGTTAAAAACTTACTTAACTATTGAAAAACATAATTCATCAGAAAAATTACATGCTATGATCTTTCCCGCTCGAATCTACTATTCAAATTATCTTTCAAGAATCTATTCGGGTCTCAGTTTCCACGGAAAAATTACGTTCAGAAGAAACACTCTATGGTTACTTATGTGGTGTCTTGCACTAATGCGGGTGTGGGCATAGCCTAACACCAACCCCCCTGACCAACATGTAATACAACGATCTCAGTGGAGGAAGACCCTGAGCATTTTGTGATCGGAATTTCCTCACAAAACTCGCGGCTCAGGCTCTTCCTTTCTCGTCACAAGTATGTTTCTTTTTTATCCACGCCAGTGGCATTTTACATGGTCAACGAGAGAAATACAATTTTAGTTCTTCTAAAACATAATCGAGCGGAAAGCACACTATAAGTGAGTATCTTCTGTAACTTGATTCTCTGTGCAGTTTCACAAGAGTTGTTGAAACCTTTTTAGTGTTTCTAATGACTTGTGTATCGGTAACTGTTCTTGAGGAAGCAAAATAAAGTAATGGAACTATATCTATTTTTTAAACAAACCTTACCCAAAAGTGGCTCAACAGGTTGACGTCAATGACAGCTTTGATGTCAGCCTCGTCACACTTCTCCAGCAGATCCCCGCCGTACAAGATACCGGCGTTGTTGACCAGGATGTCTACAGGACCCAGGTCTGATGTCACTGCCTCCCTCAGCACTCTGATGGCCGCTGGGTCGGCCACGTTACATTCGTAGGCCTGTGGGAGCAAAGTTGTTCATTATTATTTTTAACATATTCGGAACAGACAACCAATTTAGAATAGTTTGATTCAAAAGTAGAGCATGAAAAGAATTATTACTTAAAACATAAAGAGTAAAACATCAAGAGTCATAAAGAGAGTCTATCGTGAAGGCTTGTAATCGGAGTTGGAAATTTGTAAGTCATTTGGAGATGCATCCTATTCAGATTTTCTATTTCTCTAATTATGATCCACCAAAATACTACTTCTCCTAATATTATCTAGTATGCCATAACCAATAAAATAAGACATAGAGGATCGGCTTTCCTGAGATACACATACAGTATGTGATCGGAGAGATATTGCTGAAAGCTTAGAACATAAAAAGATACCCTGTATTTTCCAACTCCGTGCGTGTCGTCGTGACAACAGGTCGTGATGAAATCTTGTTATCATCCACCTGGGATACAGAAACAACACACTTGCTACGCTAAATCACATTGCTTGGCACAAAATCACGCTTATTTTATTTTAGCCCTCTCACCAGCATCCTAACACCTAAGATGCTTCATCAATGTTATCATTTGTTTACCTTCACTCTTATAATTAACCGCTTTGACTGAGTGGTTAAAGTACTCACCTAACAATCACAGGGCAATCGATTAAAGGGGATAGTTCGGTCTTAAAAGTTGTAGCTTTTTGATGGTTCAAAACTGGACCCACCCGTCCATGGCTTAACATAAATTATCCTGACTGATGAAACAACTGATAGTCCGTATCAAAGCTACACACATCTCACACCATTCTACACTCATTCACCCATTAGGTTGAAATACGCACCTAGGTGGTGCCCCCATCTCAATTGATAATGAAAATTACGTAAATTGCCCTCCAGCAACAGTTTTACTATCTTATCGTAATTTATCTTGACCAATTAGTAGCTTCTTGCGCTAAGCGGACTTCTCTTAACATCTGTCGTAACGTCTTAAGTTGTTTCCCCTTTATTTCATTCGTATTACATTGGACCCTCATCCACAGTCGTATTACCTTAGCCATTCCCCCCTCATCTATGATGTCATTAGCAGTTCCCCGGGCGTTGCTGATGTTGATGTCTACTACGGCGATTTTACAGCCCTCTTTGGCCAACCCCAAAGCCAAACCCCGACCTAGTCCTCGGCCCCCACCTGTAACCTGAGAGATATATGGTCAGTTCCCGGATATCTGTTAGCACAAACAACCGAATGAATATATCGATTATTCGATTGTTTCAATCTATCGATATATCGTTTGGTTAGGTTAGGTTAACTATACCTAACTAACCGAACGATGTATCAAATAATCGATACATCGATCGATATATTCATTCGGTTGTTTGTACCAACAGATACGGAAGTCTACTAAGTTCTCTGAAGAGTAACACATACAATTATAAAATGTTCCACTTCAAAATGCAAAATATTTTATAGTGAGTGTTTTAACTATAACATGCATTCTAAATGTATAACTCTCCACTCATTGTATTTTGAAATTAACTTTGACATTACAATCTTATAATCTTTTACCATATTTGACTTTTTATGCAAAACTAATTTTAATGTCAGGTTTTATATTTAGTGTTATACAATACACAATTATATTTTAAGCAAAAACATTGTCTTTTAAGTGATTCTTTCTTCATTATATTTCTTCTTGTATTACTTTAAAATTACAATCTAAAACTTTTTTACCATATTTGAATTTTAATGTCGGGTTTTATACAATACAAAACTTCATTTTAAGCAAAAAAATTCTTTTTTTGTGATTCTATCTTCATTGAATATAAAGAAATACAAATAGTAGCAAACCCTTAAGAATAATAGTCTTGTGATTATATATTCCAAAAAACATTCCTTGATAAGCTTTAATATTACGTCAGTAATAACTTTGATCAAATTGATTTTAGTTATTCATCTTTAAACTTGCAACCCTTTTCATTTACTGTGCAATAAAAATCAATGCAGTTTAATATAATATTTAGAAGTAAGCTATATTACCAGAGCCACTTGTCCTGTCAAAGACTTCCTGGGTGGTGGAATGATCTTGCTTATTATTGTCATGATGATGTCATGGATTATAAAGGGTAAGATACACAGTATCTGGGTAGTGAGCAAGAACAGCTCCTTGTATGCAATCTTCCTCTGTTCCACCGACGGAGGAGAAGGGTTTCTTATCAAGCCGTCAGGAAGCCCTGTCGTCTCCATCGTGCTGAAACTATTGATAGCAAATCTAAACATTTTCTGTCAAATTTTTTCAATTTAAAATTTCATTTTATTTACATATTTTATACTTTTAGTGCAAAAGTTCTAGAGTTGTCAGTGGTTTTTGGGATATAATTGTCAAAGTACCACATTGGCAATTACACCTTTTAGTTGGAAATATTAATTTTGTATTCATACAGCTTTGTGCTCTCATCTTATCCTCAGAACAATTGGAGAACGAAACAGTCATGGATCTCTATTTATCTAAAACACATTATTTACAGAAATCATCTATTAGGATTAGGTATAAGGATGATTTGAGCTTTGACTCAAAATTGATCGCTATTTCACATTCGACATACAAATTAACCATATTTTATACTAATAACATGTATATTTATATATCTTTCAAGTTTTATAAAGATTTGTTTTGTCATGCTCCGTGAACTGATATGGGATATGTCTATAAAATGTCATTCTCCAATTATTCTATGCAAGTATTGTTACTTGGTCTTGCAATAAAGCCAAACTTTTACATTGAGTCAATATTTAGCTTAAATTGGAATTGGTATTGAAACGTAAATATTGATTTTAAAAGATTGGTTTTAAATTGCTGTGATAGTAGCTTGATACTAACTCAATGAAACGTTGTAAGTTGTTATTGTTAGTATGGTAATCAAAGGTTTAAGCAGTAGGCTGTCCCAGTCCACGTCATCAGGTCAAGGTCACTCACTTCAGTCAGCTGATTAAAGATTATCAGTTTTATCCACCGACAAAACAAACACAGATAACAACAGATAACGGTTTGGATCATAAACATAAACAAATAATATATCTGATCCGGATATAAACTTGACATAATAGGTCAAACATCTAGAATGGTACTTTCACATTTTGGCTGATAAATTATTGCTTTGTTTGTTTGGCTTCGCACCAGTGATGTTATTTGGTCATGTTCTTATTCCATACAGTGTTTTAACGTGTACAGACGTAATCTGTACATGTCATATGCAAAACACACCCATTTACATGGATATTAGAACATAAATGGTAAGGATTATAATTAAAAGAAATAACGTCACTGACTCGAAAGTAAACTAGTTATCTCATTATATAAATGGTGTTTAGAGTCAAAAACGTCAAAACCAGCTGTTACGGTTATAAAATTAGACGAGTGACGTCATTTGTTTATTGTTTATGATGTATACAGTTTTTGTTTTAATGTCCGTGCGTATTTCTAACCCACACGTTTTGTTGCATATTTACTTAAACAATATTACATTTCTTTTTTTGGACGACATAGTTTTTAGCTGAGGTTATTAATCCAGTTATACCTTTGGCGTCAACGCAGTCCTTGTCACCGGAGTTAATTTCACAACCAAACACTCATTTAAAATAAAATACAAAAACAAAATGAAATAGCAGACTTAAGTTCTCACTGATCAAACTCACGTCATGGTGATTACAACGTTTACATGAGAAAAGTACATTGAAAACGCACACATTGACATTGGTGCGGTGAAACTTCAGTATTAGAGAACTGATGTCCGTTATTTTATTTTTGTATTTTTATTTTAAATGTGTGTGTAATCAACTGTATTCACCTAATTTAAGTAGGGTTAGGAATGCCCAAAATATTTATCTAACTAATTATTTAATTAGTTAAAATTTTGTGTTGTCAGTGTAGTCAAGTTTTGGTCAAAGTCCAATTAGGTCTCATGGAAGTGTTAATGAATTTCTGAATGCACTTCCTACACTTTTCTGCAAAAATCCAATACCATATTAAGGTCCTTGGAAAGAATTTGACCCCCATCCCGAAATAAAAATCCCACAATGTTGTAAATTTTATACGTCGTCTAACGGCAAAATTAAAAACTTGTATAATCTCACACAATTGTGTAAAAAAACTGTTTTTTTAACAAAAGTCCTGTTAAAATAATAGTGTCCAGTCATGACTTAAGTTACAAGTCACAAAGTTCCGACTGACAATCGTCTACTCTAGACAAAAAGTTTTCTTCTTGAAGTTAACTGACAGATTCCCAATTTTCAAGAACACACCGTTTAGTTGCATCTCCTTACATTAATGCTACTTTATACTCGTTAAAATTCTACGTGTACAGTCAAATAAAAATATTTTAAATCGTATGGTTCTCTTATTTCTAAAATTCTAAATGGCCCTACATGTTAAAATATAAAATATTTGCTTATTTCGTTTAATAAATCTTCAGTTCCTTGTTTCAAACTAAAACTTGCCCTCTTTTGTATTGCAATAAATAATAGTTACGCCCCCGCCATACTGAAACAGTTTGTTAAATAAATTGACAAGGGACATGGGTCCATAGAGTCCCTTGAGTTACATGGACGTTGTCAGTGATAATGAAGTCCTCAATCAAAGAGACCTCTCGCTAAAATAATGGACTGTTTGTTTGGTTTATGTTTAAATCTTCTTGTTTAGTGTTATACTATTGTGGTCTTTTATTTATGTGGTTGTGTAAATTATGGTGTAATTTGTCAATATTTCTTTTTATGCAGAAAAGTAAATAGTTTATACGAAACAAAAGCTTGATGATATGAGATTCCTATACTAATGTTAATAAGGGCTCAATACGAAGGAGCTAGCTGGTCTAATGGTAAAGCACGGGGCTTTGGTGCGCTAGGTCCTGGGTTCAAGTCCCTCCAATAACCAATCGATTTTATCTTTGCCACAACCCTCAAGGACTAACCTGAAATGTGTAAAACAGTTCTGGGTTAGAACCTATCGTCCTAGGATGTAAAGGTGGGACATAAAAAAATAGAAGCTCAATACGGGATGTAAATATAAGTGTTTATCTGAAGTTTCAGACTAAAACGAAGTACATTAAAAATGAATTATATGATGGACAGTGATATACTTAACAATTTAAGAGTGAAAATATGAGGGACGAATCCCCCCATCAAATCATTGATTTAAAATCTAAATATATTCGTAAAAACATTTGGTGAGAACAAATTCACGTACATGTTGTCAAATATACTGAAACGTATTAAGATTCTTGGGCCGTTCCTTATAATTAAATAATTATTAATAGAAAATACCCTCACCACAGCAAACCTGAAGACTAAGCAAATTTCCATTTGCCTGAATGGATTTACACTAAAATTCCTCTTTAAAAATATCACATATGCTTCCTATTTAAATAGAATTAGTTAAACGAGTATTTAAGTTTGCTGCAACAGGGAGGGTAAAAAAGTGTTGTTGTCGTAAAATGTTAATAGTTTAGTAAGAAATGAATGTATTTTTCAAATTTGATCAAAATATTTCATAAACAAGCAAACTACAACAGTTGCCTTATTCTCCATAAGAATAACATGAGAATTTAAATAAAAAATTTTTGAATCTTCTCCGTTACCAATAACCGTACAAAAACACGTTGATATACTAAATTGTTGGCTTTTTCAAGGTCTTTAAAAAGGTCTAGAGAAACATTAGGAAACTTTGTCTTTTGAGGGTCAAAAATAGAAAAACCAATTTGTATCCCATAAACCCCCGTAAATCCCGTTCCTATGGTCCGATCATGCTGGTTTGAAAACTCATTTAAGTTTATCTTCCCTTACACATTTGAACCAAGTTTCATCAAAATCGGACAAAAATTACTCGAGTTATCGCGTTTACGGACACATATATGACACTATATCCTACTAATATTATAAATGAGAAAGTTTGGATGTATGGATGTATGGATGTATGTTTGTGACAAGTAAACGCATTAACCACTGGACGGATTTTGCTGAAATTTGGCATGATGATAGGTCACATTCCCGATTAACATATAGGCATATTCTTATCTCCAAAATCCTTAACTTACAAGGATTACCAACAGGGTGCAGCAATATTATTTTTTTAAATTTATGACAACAGATAATTTGCAACCAAAAGGTGAGTGAGCGTAGTGAACGAACTTCAACCTGTAGGCGAGTGAGCGTAGCGAACGAGCTAACCTGAAGGCAAGTGAGCGCAGCGAACGAGCTCCAACCTAAAGGTGAGTGAGCGCAGCGAACGAACTTCAACCAGGACGTGATTGAGCCATGCGAACGAGCTCACTTATGAAGTAAAACGGGGCAAAGCCCGTGGGTACAGCTAGTATATATATATATATATATATATATATATATATATATATATATATATATATATATATATTTACCCAGAACACGATAGGCGCTCGTTTTAGCATCCAGCGCACAATGCGAGCTCTCAAAGGAGCTCCTACGAGAGAGCTCCTAATGGGAATTCTAGAGCACAATGCGAGCTCCCTCTTCTCCTCCCCACTTCACCTCTCTGTGGACCTCTCCCATTAGGAGCTCGCCGTCATTTAAGCTTTGAAAAACAGGTTTGTAGGATTGGGAATTTCCCCAAACTTCATATATCCCTTTTACCCAGAACATGCTAGGCGCTCTTATTAGCATCAAGCACCCAATGCGAACTCTCTAAGGAGCTCCTACGAGAGAGCTCCTAATGGGAATTCTAGAGCACATTGCGTGCTCCTTCAATACATGGTTTACTAGGATTCGGAATATCCCCAACCGTCTTCAATTCCGCTCTCTCTCTCGCTCGGACATTCCTTCTCTCTTTGTCTCGCATCCCCACCGACCACGTGATCCACACTGCTACACTGCTACGCTACACTACAACTGCTTGGACAAAGAATCTAAGATAACATTAGCATATGTGTTGCGCGATAATGTGGTATGGGAACATATTATATAATGTGAACGAGTACTCGAAATAATATAGGCAAAATTTAAGTGCTCGTGTTATTTTAAGTAAGTTAATTGATTTGAGTTTGGTTGTTATGCAAACTCCAATATTGAAAATAACAGTTTCAAAATTCTAAAAATTAGACAAACATTGTCATACAGCAATAAATCATATAATGAACAAAACGGCTCTTGTTAGCTTCTGCTAGTCATCATAGGCTATCATTAACTCCTTGAAAACAATGGTGTCATTAAAATTGGAAATT